ACACTTCCCCTGAATCAAAATATTACAGGCTGGAAATCAGACTGCACAAGAGAGGAACAGAGGTTCCTGATGGGATGGTTCCGGTACATCGATAAGGGTTTATGGGGCGACAGTGAGGGCTGTGATTGTACCTGAGACAAGTGAAACGATTTTTATAAGTTTTTATGGTTTAAAAATGATGAATAGAAGGTAAATAATATGAGAAATGAAGAACAATAAAAATATATGATTTTTATGGATTTTAGATTTAAATGAAGACAAGTGAAAACAAGATGTAAAACAATAAGAAATCAAACAAAACTAAGGGGCTGAAATATGGATGATTGATATGCAAGATGAATGATAAAACAAAGTAAATAAACAAAGGATAGGATGGAATCAGGTTGCTGGACGTAAGTCTCTCTTAACCTAATCAAGAGATGATTGAAGTGGAATGAGATGGAGGAGAACTTAATTTGGAAAATAAATAAACCAACACAAACCAAAGACAATAAATCGGTTAGAAATCATAATTGAAACCTTACCAGCTTACCTTGTAGATTTTAAGGGATTATCCATAATCGGACTCGGTTTGGGATGGGTTGAAACCGAGTTCGAAAATAGAGAGGATTAGACCGGTTCGTTTATGGGCTAGCGATCTGAATTGGACCGGGCCTGCTTGATCTTGAACATATATTGGACCGGCTCAATCTTGGATCTTCAATTGAAACATTTCTTCAATCAACAGCTGGTTCTGGCCGGTTTGTTCTTCTTGGTCTGATTGAATTAACATAATGTGTTTTGCTGTAAACAAAATTTCAGAGGGAGAAATAGTGAAGAATGGAATGCAGATTGCAGTGGTGAGAATCATGGAAGTTGACATTTGTATTTATAGGTACAATGTTGAGAAACGCAAAGAAGATGGGGCTGGATAATTTACTGCATCCTTTAGTGGGAGGTATAAGTTTGTTGTTGTAATTCTGAGATCAATTGAATGAGAATTTTGTAAGAGTCTCTAGAAGATAAGGCATGCGAGGAGACAATGATGACATATAGATTTGCCGACAGTGGACCATTCTCAGATACACGGCCCATGAATAAAAGTATTTTTTTAAATAAATCCATCTGATTGCTAAACCAATATAATTCTAGAACAAATGAAATGCTGGTTTTGTACCTTTTTTTTTAAATAAATCCATCCGATCGCCAGACTCATATAATTCCAAAACAAATGAAATGTTGGTTTTGTACCAGCTGGACATGTGTCGGCACTACACTACACAAGTCTTCTTTATATAAAGATTAGTTTTTTATACTAGTATGCTAGTTGTACATGACACACGTCCAAGGAGAATAAAGTCAAAAGTGTACCAAATTCTTCGTCATCTGGTTATTATTATTATGATATATAGCTATATTTTTCAGTTTATGGTTCTTATGAATATTCAACAAATTTTTCCTATCTTATTTGTAAAAGAAGGAGTTCATTATCACTATAAGGTAGTTTACATGTTTTTATTACATTATAAGGCAGTTTCAGCTACTAAGGTAGTTTTCTCTAACTTTATACCTTTCTTTTCTAACTAAACGTAACTAGAAAAAAATATTACTTTACTTCTAAAAAAGTCAAGCATTTTGAAACCCAAAAACCATCGAATATAATCTTCCATCTTCTGAATAAAAATAGTCTTCATCTTCTTTATGTTGTGACAGTAGTTCGTGATGGTTCTAATGTTCGAAATCCACCATTATCGCCATCTTTCATTTGCACAATGAAACTCACAACTAAAATGGCCAAATTTGACAACAACTCACTATTTTTGGAGTCTGAAGTTGAAAAAAGATTATACATATGATAAAGCTACGATTTTGATATGTATTCTATAATTAAAACATACAAAAAAAATAGAAGATTATGTGAAAGAAATCAATGGCGGCTGCAAAAACTACTACAAAAAACCCTAAAAAATCTGAGGAAGACGAAGACTATATTTACTAAAATACTCTTTATTATGTACACATAATTTATTACCCACGTGTACAACTGATTTATATATATAATTATATGTACATGATACTATGTACACACAATGTATTATTCATATATACAATGAGTCATATGTGCACCTGTCAATTGATTTATGTACACGATAATATGTACATGATACTATCTACACACAATTGATTTATGTATATAGTTATATGTACATGATACACACAATGTATTACATGTACACATATGTTTTTGACATCAGATTTGGCTAATATGTACAATGTACATATTATATTTTATTAGATATTTACATGTATACTTCTTTTAACATCGACAAGGGCTAACATGTACAATGTACATACTCTACATGTACATATTCTTCTTTTTTTTTAACAATATACGTGTACATATTTACATGTGTACAAAGATAATATGTGTATATTTTGAAATGCAAATGATTAACATGCACATGTGATAAATTTGTTATATGCATTTACAAGTATCATTTTCCATATGTACAAATGATAAATTTGTTACATACATACGCTTTCAAAGATCACTAATATGTACACATATATTTCATTTAAAATATGCTATAAAAATAAATAAAAGAGTAAGATTTCACAATGTTTTGAAATGTCCATTTGTACGTTATTTACGAAAATTGTTTGTAGTTACAAATGTAGAGACAAATATGAGTATCCATATGAAGACCTTATTTAATGTACACATTTTGCATTGTCCACATGAATACTATAAATTATCTACTTTTTAGTGGGCATTATGATGCACATTATAAATGTGCTTGTCGATACCTTAGTTCTTGAGTGTATAGAAAGTACAATAATAAATTCATTGTGTACATGTTTCAGTAAACCCTATAAATATGGGCAAGACGAAGACATAGTTACTAAGATACACTAATAACTTAGATACCAGTGATATATTTTGTTGGTTGTGTAATGATCTAATTACAAACCTCATTCTTTGATTTTGTTTGTTTAAGGTTTTATGTTCTTGGAAAACTTTGTTATGGTGTACACAAACAAGCGTGTACATGTGTACAACACAAACAAGTTTCGTGTACAAACCTTAATTTTTTTTATTTTCTATTAATTATGTAAAATACAAAAATAGCCTCGTCTTCTTCCTTGGTCACTGTCGACCATAAACCCTAATTTCTGCCTCTCTTACCTATTTTTATGCTTCTTTACATTTTCTATTTGCTTTAATGTATTTTACCTAGATGTGTTAGATTTCAATTTTAGTTCATGATTTTATATTTAAATATTTGAACAAAGTAAATTTTTTTCCTTTTCAGATCTGTTGAGCGTTTGTTCCAGTTCACTTTATGACTCCAGATATTTTTAACAAAAGTTAAATATAAGATCTATTTGGACAAAAAAATTTGAAGAACCAGATTTGATTTTAAAAAAAAAAATTGAGAAGAAAATGAACGAGAAAGTTAAATAGGATTCATTTTGTTAATGTTTTTGAAAAGTAAAACTTGTGCAAAAGAAAGAAAAAGATAAAAAGAGAAGATTGTAGGTCCTCTGTTAGAAAAAAAAAAAAAGAGAAGATTGTAGGTCCTACTTATTAGGATAAAATTTGTTGTAATATTTTCTTAAAAGAAGTAGGGTATTATCTGGTTATTAAAATACTGGCGGATTTTTGGGGAAGACTTTTGGACTCTTTTAAGTCAACTTTGATTTTAGGTCAGGGAAACTAACGAAGAAGAAATCAAACTCTGTTTCGGGATTTGAAAACTTTTTCAAGGCTTTAATCTCTGACTGTTCGTTGACTGCTTTAGGTAAAAACTCCTTTGACCGTTTTGATCCGTATCGATTCGATTTTCAGCTGACTTGTTCAATCCTCCAGTTCTTTTGTTTTATGTGGTGAGATCTTGGTTTTCGCCCAGCTTCGAACTGGATTAAAACATAATTACAAGCATATGACTGTTTCTAAAGTATGAAATCACAAAAACTTGTTCTGGATTAATGATTTCTGTTCTGTGTAAAGCAGTGCTCTTAAGTTTTAAAGATCGGTCTTTTCTGATAGGACTCCGTAGTACTGTGTGTGATTCACATTTTAGAGGCTTTATCTCCAGGTTCCAAACGAAGAGAACATTCGTTTTATGTTTTGCTAGCACGAGTCATGGTTGTTGTAGTAAGGTGTCAGCTCTTATTCACGCCCCGGTAGAAGTAAGTTGCATCACCTCTTTTCTCAATTATCACGCTTATTTCTTGGCTTAATGGGTTTGGTCAATGAAAATGAGCCCCATAAGCAATTTCTTATCTAAATGTTTTCAGGGTGAAAGTGATAGTAAGAAATGAGATCTGTTCACATGGCATTTATTCTTTGTTTGTTTTCTTGTTGAGAAGACGACGTAATAATTTATGTCAAGTGTGATGTCAATTCAACAAAATTAGTCTGCTTACGGATTTACATAGTCTGTATAATTCAGCAATTCTTATTTATGCTAAATCAGTCGAACTGAAAGTGAACGTTCAAACTTTTTCATATGTGGATATAAAAAAAGTGGAAAACCTTTGTGGAAACTGGAAACAAAGTAAACCAAATAGAACATGTTAGGTCTTCAACGAGGATTAACATCAGTGATTGTTGCTTCATCCACGGAACAAGTATAAGACTTGCTGCTCGATTGACTCGGATCCAATCCCTGAGATGACGGGGTCGCTCCTGATCTGTTCCCGAAAAAAAATCCAGGCGGCAGAGGTACACGCAGAGTAATAGAGCTGGTTGTGAGCATTTGGTGAATCGTTGACATTGTTGGACGATCTGAAGGATTTTCTTGAACGCATAACAGTCCAATATGAATGTATCTAACAACTTCATCGATGTTACAGTCTTCCTTGATACCAGGATCAATGAGATCAGGCAATGATTTGTTCTCCCAAAGTCTCCAAACCTGTAGAAGTTACATAATATATATTCAGAACTTTGATTATTGTTTAAAAGAATTAATCAAACTCTGAGACTTCCCCTATATTTGGTTATAATTTCTTACATATGTGACTAAGTTGTTAACCAAACCATCCGTCTGGCGGAAGCTGCTATTCTTTTTGCCACTAATGATCTCAAGAATCATTACTCCAAAGCTATATATATCTGATTTCATAGAGAATTGGCCATGTATCACATACTCAGGTGGCATGTAACCGCTGCAAAATACATTTTAATTAGCTGAAAAAGTGTTTGTGTATCGAAATTCATCAGATCCACAGAAAGTATATACTCACAAGGTTCCAACTACTTTTGATGTATTGTCCACAGTTTGGTTCATTCCAAAGATCCTTGCCGTTCCGAAATCAGCAATTTTTGGATTCATTTCCGCATCTAATAGAATGTTACTAGCTTTTAGGTCGCGGTGTATGATCTTGAGCCGTGAGTCTTGATGAAGATATAAAATCCCTCGACTGATACCACCAATGATATTGTGTCTCATTGTCCAGTCCAACTGAATTCTCTTACTAGCGTCTGAACATTCATGCAATATCACAATTGCTATGAAAAGAAGAGAAGAAAAAAAAAACTAAATAATAAGAGTTAGAATTTAGAAAAAAAAAACTGACCGAAGAGGAAGTAATCAAGGCTTTTGTTATGAACAAACTCATAGACGAGTAACTTTTCTTCTCCTTGAAGTGAAAACCCAAGAAGTCTAACAAGATTCCTATGTTGAAGCTTTGCAACAACAACCACCTCGTTCTTGAACTCTCTTTCACCTTGTCCTGCCGCTTTGGACAGTCTCTTTACCGCAACTTCAGTTCCATCCATGAGGATGCCCTTTATAAAAATTACAAATAAGGCATCATCATTTCATTAATTCATCAAAATATAAGCAATATATGCAACTTAGAAAACTGGCTAACGATGAAAGAAAAAAAACTCAAAGAAGTGGGCAAGTAGCATATATATTACCTTGTAAACCTCACCAAATCCACCTGCACCAAGCTTGTTGGCCTCAGAAAAATTGCTCGTCGCAGCTTCAATTGTCTTGAAACTAAATTGAATAGATTCCGCTTCATTTATGACACAACATTAAGCTTGTCAAAAAAAAGTTCCTAAGCCGTGAGATTCTTAATATTACAATACCAGTCAAGGCAACTCACTTGGAAGTTGTATATCTTGCTTTTCCTTTCTCCTCTTGAACATAACAATGGCAACACAAATCAATACTATGACCACAACAATAACTACTACAATCCCCGCGATAATACCTCCTGAGACCTTTTTATCTGCACAAAACCACCAAAACAAAAAAAACATTAAACAACAAAAACACAAGAACTACTATGGAATTGTTTCTAAAGTGACTTGCCTTTCTTGGTTATATCGGTCAGATTAGCTGCAGGAGGACTATTTAAAAGCGGAGGTGGATCATTAATATGATCAAAAGCACCAGAGAAATTATACAACTCCCACCGGAAAAAGCAACTTGGCCGCAACAAAATGACACCTCTCTTCCCATGGAACCATTTCTTATAGTAATCAACGTTTGTCTCTATACAAAGCGTACAATCATTCGAAGAAAGATCTTGAGTGCATTGCATCAGCACCAGTATGTTCCCGTAAACCGGCACTGGAGCTACATCCTTCGCATAGTTCTTACCATACGATGATAAAGAAGAAGAAGAATTGTTTCTCACCGAGGAAGTATTAAGTCCTGTGATCATACGACCCTTTAACCCGTCCCACACACTATCAAACTCCTTCTGGTTTTCTTTTCCTATGTCCAATACGTTATTAAACACAGCTTTCGGCTCCAAGGCGAGGACCCCAGAGAAGGACTTACTAGAGTAGCGAACAAAGCAAAGGAACTCCTCACCCGACCATTCGAAAGCATCTGTCTGGTTCAGACAGGACTTTAGTAAACTATCTGAGGTGTCCTGGATACAGTTGGAGCAAGCTTGTGGTTCAGCACCTGGAGCGCACATCCCCAAGGCGTAGACTCTATCAGGGCCTAGCCCGATGGAGCCGTTGAAGTAGCCGGCCTGAGCAGTGACGTTAGAAGCAAGAGTAGAGTTGAAGAGAAGGCGGTTCTTCTCATATGGGCTATTGGGTGTGAAAGTCCCAGCAGTTTCATCACAGATTTGTGCAGAAACAAATATGGGACTGAAGCTTATGAGTATGATGCAGAGGATTGATACAGAGCTCTTCTTTCCCATATTTTTTTATTTAAATAATAGTTCTGATAGTTTGTGTGTTTTGGAATGTGTGATTCTTATCAGTTTGTCATGAACTTTGAATATTACACCTCATTGACAACGCGCTATACTACTTTTTTTTTAAATATTGTTAAAAGTAAAACGCGCTGTACTAAATCGACTCTACTTTATTTATGTCGGAGAATTGTCCAACTAATATATATATTTGTTTAGACTGAAAAAGTTAAAAAGTTAGCAAGAAAAACATTGACATATATACATCTTATAAAACAAATGACACTTGTCATGTTATCAACAATGTTGAAGGTTACTTTATTACTCACTCTGATTCAATTTAGTTGTCATTTTAAATTTCTAAGAAAATATTTAATTTTACTTATTTTCTAAAAAAACACAATTATTTAAACACCTAATAATATTTTAACCAATAAAAATAAAATAGTAAATAAAGTTAATAAATTTTACCTTGAAATTATAAAATGATATTTATTTTAAAACGAAAATTTTACTATACAACAACAACAAAATTGAAACGGAGGGAATACATAAGATATACAGAATCTAAGAATTAAACAAAAATAATAATCAGAACCTAGAACCTTACCCTTTACTATCTAAAATCAAATAGAATTTTAATTTTGGACCTGAACCCGGTAAGAACCGATCTGAAACCTAACTGAAAATCATAAGTACTTATTGAATCCAAATTTTTTTACACTCGAAAGATCTGGTAAGAACCGATCCGAATCCCACCCAAAGACCCGAATATTAAGACATATTCTAGACATTCAGTAAAATCATAAGTATTTATTGAATCCAATTTTTTTCTACAAACAAAGAACCCAGATCCGATAGAAACCGATCTGAACCTCACCTGAAGACATGATACCAAGACCTGTTTTAGATATTCAGTTACTTTAGTTTTCTTTTAAAAAATATAACAATTAATACCAAACAACACTTAAACTAAATTAACCATACTAATAAAATTTGGAACCGAACTAAGCAAAAATAACAAAATTTATCCAAAATTTAAACCAAAATCTAACCAATTTTTTTTTGGAATGAATTTAAAACTGAACTAACAGAGTACAGAACCAAATTTTATTTTGAATTAATTTAGTAACATTTTTGTTAAACTAAATCCGAGCCGAATAAGCCAAACTAATTGAACATGCATGCATATACCAAGTTATTGAAGTTACAACAACAATCACAAACAAGTTTTATGAGAATAAACTCCCACCTAGATGACACATTAAAAATCTCGACTACATTTGCATCAAATGTTATTATTACAAGTAGGTGAGAATATCTAATTTCATATAAAGATATTTATGTACAGATTTACGTATTTTACTTCTACTTCTTTACTTCGACTTTGATTAACAGAAATTATTAGCTCTCACAACAATAATGTATATACATTGATACAAATATATTCAATTACATACTACCGTTAATATAATTTCATAGTTCAAAGATAAAAGATAAATATTCGACAAAAAATATTCATAGCATCATTACTTAACTGATCACCACACGGCTACACATCTATTCCATGAAATGCAAACCTAAAACCAAGAACTCTCAAACTCAGTTGACAAAAAATTAGCAAGTCACTTGACATGTATGCTAACAAAATATCGTAACGATCAACATCACATAACATGTCCCAACAATATAAAATAAACTCTATAAACATCTACATTTGTAAATAGTACAACTCTATAACCCAACTCTAGAACTTATACCCACATGGAATTATGATTAGATTAACAGAAAACTAGATCGAGATACACCAACAGAAGGTGAAAGTGCAACACCATATAGAAGATAATAATGAAATAATATTTAGTACTTTATGGAACCTAATAAAATAATTAAATAACAAAATTGTTATAATGATCTAAAACAAATACAGAAAAATATGATCCACCACAAATATCTCATGTATTTCAATACTCAGCATCTGACAAGACATAAATCATTTCTGAATTACAGCAAATTATTCTAGCCACTCACAAATTACACAACTATTTAAATAAGTCTCGAGCACAACCAAATATTTAATATCAAATCCAAAATGTCTGAAACTAAATCAAAATAATCTTATGCGCCATATACATATAAAAAAAATATTACATTCCGCGCGAAAAGCGGACATACCACTTTTATTGAATGAAAAATATGAGGGAGCGCCAAACAACTGAAACTAACTTTTATCACTTTTACCTTTGTTACTGGTTTTTAGAGGTATATAGCTAGTTCACTTTGCTCTCTCACTGTCTTCCAGTGAGAAATAAATTAGGTTAGAAATTTATTTATTTTAATTTTTGTCAAATATTTTTTTAATATACACTTCTTCCTTCTATTTAATTTAATTGAATTACTCTCATTTATTTTAAAATTCGCCCATCACACTTCTATCTTTTTTTCCATCATTTTGTTTCTTAGATTGATTCAATGTGTGTGCGCTATCACCCATCACACTTCTATCTTTAATTGCACAGGAGCTTCTTCGGTGGATACCTCTTGGTCCTGTTTAGCCACAACCATTTCTTTTCTATACGTTCTACGGACCGATGCCTTCTACTGCCTTCTCAACGGGTAATGAACCAAAGGCAGTGTCTGAAAAATCCGAGATTGCCTAAAGCCCATTTTATAAGATCAAGTGGTTATCGAATTTGAGACGTTCGATCCGATCGGGTCCAATCTACATGGGAAAGAAGGACAAATGCTATTGTAATCTTGTCAATATGTATTGAGAGTTTGAATTGTCATAATTTAATGACTCAGATACATTTCTTATTATATATTAACTGAAAATCATTGTAACATAATTTTTTAGAGATACATGTTATTTCATCTAAATGTATACTCTTTTCGTTTCATATTATATATTATTGTAAATTAAAAATTTTGTTACCAAAAAAATATCAATAATTTCAATACAAATTTTATTAATTTATATGCTATATGAATTTTGGTATTCTATAAATTATTTTTATTGGTTCAAATATGGTTATATGTATAGTTAATGATATTTTTATTTTAAAATATACAAAATTAATATTTTTCAACCTGAGTTCACAAATCTAAAATGATATTTAAAATGATACTTCGCATTCAACTAACCATACTTAGTTAGTAATCTAAGATAATAAGCTTCATTATTTTCTTTAATAAAGCAAGAAAATTACATAATGTCATTAAAATATATATAATAACTAATGATTTTGAATAATAAAAGTTTGATCACAATTTGTGTATTCTTTAGCATTTTTTTTTAATTTTAATTATTAAAACAAATTAAACAACATAAACCATATAATAAAACATTATATTTTTTGTGTATGTTGTATTTTTAATTTTTTTTTAAAAACGAACATAAACTACTATAATTTTAAAAATCACATTTTGGAAATTTGGTGACCTATGGCTTATATTGTTTTTGTTATAATAAAATATAAATGATTATAACCTCATATGGATATGATTTTTCATTTAACAGATACTAGATTTTGATTTGCAATTTACAAGCTCGGGAATATTTTATGAAAATTTCACTAATAATTAACAAGTATTTTGTTAATTTGAATAAAAAATGTAATTAAAATATTTTTGCGTTTAAACTAGTGTTTTTAAATTTGACCAAAACTCGTAGTTTGACTGGTTAATCCAGTAATCTGATAATTTGATTTAGATTTTTAAAAATATTCATATTTAAAAAATGGGAAAATTGCCAAAAATGACTCAAAACTTGATTTGAAATGCAAAAGTAAACCCAAACTTGAATCAAATGCAAAAGTAACTTAAAAGGCTGTTGAAATTACAACCAACCCCTTGTGAACAAACAAAAAAAGAGTTTTTTTTTACGTTTCTAGCCCTCGCAAGTCGTCTGCCCAGACGACTTTAAACTAAGTCGTCTAGACGACTTAAAATTGTGTAATAAATATCTTATGTAATAAATATCTTGATAAATGAAAAATTGGGATTATGTAATTAACATATGTCTTAAGCGATATAAATTAAGATATAAAAAAAGTCAGTTGTTTTCAGCATAGATGAGTGAAAGTAGTGAGTGATGATATTCTTTAGTTTATGTTTCACCAGCATATGTTGTAGTATTGTAAGTGTTTCTTAGGGTTAGAAATTCGAAAGCATAAATGTTTTTTTGAAAAATTTAAAATTTACCTAAGTGTGTTTATTTCTGTGTATAGTAAACACTATTTAAGTATAATTTGATTTTATAACATGGTTAGTAGTTAATTTAGTCAATTTAGTTTAGGGTTTAGGGTTTGGACGACTTAATTTAATAAGGCAGACGACTTATTCGGATGTATAGTATCAACAGACGACTTAATTATAAGTCGTCCAAACCGGATTTTGCCAAATTACTTTTAAACCTAACCGTATTTTACCGGACATATATAAGATGTTTTTTTTTACTCACTTTTTCGCGAAACTCAGAAAACCCTAACGCCGTTTCTCTCAAAGGTGATTTCGAGGCGATTTCGATCCGATACAAGACCAAGGTAAATCGAAGGCTTCTCTTGCAGATTTATGGGTTTTATTAGGATGGATGTTGTTTTCCTTTACTTTTACCGTTTGGTTTTGTGTTTTCAACGATTTGGGGAAATTTTGGTTTCAAATTAGGGTTTCAAAAATTGGGGATTTCAATCGACTTGTTGTTTAGTTAGATTGGATGTTGTTTTCCTCTCATTTTACGGTTACTATTTGTGATTTCAAGCAATTTGTGGATATTTTCATTTCAAATTAGGGTCGTCCACCTGGCAGACTTATAATTAAGTCGTCTAGAAAGTCTTCCAGGTTAAAGTCGTCCAGGATAATCAAAGTCGTCCAGAATATTTTTCGAGTTTTCTGGTCAAACCTTGCTTATCCTGAAATATATTGATTTCCAAATCTAATATGTGAATTTTAATAAGTACTTACAAATCCGAAGGTTTTCCTTCGGATTTTAGTCCTTGTATTTTTAACAAAGAAATCCACACAAATCCACCCAAATTCATTATA